CAGAGGGCTGGGGGGGGGTGGAGGTTCAGGGCAGAAGGCTGGGGGGGGATTCAGGGGTCAGGGCAGAGGGCTGGGGGGGGGTGGAGGTTCAGGGCAGAAGGCTGGGGGGGGATTCAGGGGTCAGGGCAGAGGGAGAGCGGTGGGCGGGGGAGCTGAGTGGGGCTGGGGGCCGGAACCGTGGCAGGCAACAGCATGCCACTCAAAATCGGCTTGCGTGCCGTGTTTGGCATGTGTGCCATCGGTTGCCGACCTCTGATGTAAGTGATACAGATTAAAAGTATTCTAGTGCACTGATTAAAATCTGCATTTTAAGCTATTTTATCCTATTAAAGGCATTATTAATATCTCTTTTTTATATAACAATTTACTACAATAATCAAATCCCTCGTCATTCAAAAAAGGCTAATGGATTTGGATCTGATATATTTTAAGCAGTCATACGGAAGTACCATTAAAACATGAAAATGAATGGTCTTTTAGCATTGGTCCTGAAACACATTTGTTCTGCAAGTGGTAGCCTCAGAGCAGAGCTGAGATTTTTAAAAATGTGCATGGTATTGTGCATAGACTCTCAATAAAAGTACACACAAATGACCAGTTAGCCATCAAACTGATACATTTTAATGTGGAATTGTTTTTGTACATGCAGTTATGGTAATCACATATGTAAATCTAAAAATCTGGACCTTTAAATATTTTTATATTAGAGTTTATCAATTTAACATGGAAGCATGCTCAAACATGCTGATAAAAATTTTGTTTACTGATAAAATGTTCAAATGGTTCAATGGTCTTGATACGAGATAAATATGAAGATACCTGTTTTTTTTTTCTCTTTTTTTTCTTCTTCTTAATGTAGATCTTTATGTCAGAGGCTGGGAAAATTAATCAGAAGATTAAAGTGTGGTTCAGTGATTACTTCAACATCAGTGATACAATTGCCATTGTTACTTTCTTCATTGGGTTTGCACTAAGATTTGGAGCAAAAGGGAACTTTGGTGACAATACTTACAGAGAAAATTATGTTTTTGTTGCTGGAAGACTAACATACTGTCTAAATATTATATTTTGGTATGTGCGATTACTGGATATTTTAGCTGTAAATCAACAGGCTGGCCCTTATGTCATGATGATTGGCAAAATGGTAAGTTTTGTTTTATTGAAAACATACCTCTGAGGTAATTTTCCACAAATCAAAATGTGCAAATGGGTTAATTAAGATATAATTTCTGTTCACAGATCCTCAGAACAGTGGGGGGTGAGAGTGGCTTCCCAAACATTTGGTTATAGTCTGTGATATCTGCCCTTCTGATATATAGAAAATCCATTTTGTTGAATAGGTGCTATTATTTCTCTTCTTTTACAAACATCTCTCAGAACTGAAGAAAAGGCAGCAGTCCTTCCATTTAGCTTCTTTTTTTTTCTTTTGTAGGGTTAAGATGATATTACTCTTATTCTTTTGGGGTTTCTTGGAAATCTGTATATTTTGTCCCTACACTGTTTTAATGCAGTAGTTCTTGTTCCATACCAGAACCTCCCATGCACTTATCAATAGGGGAAGGGCAAGGTGGTTGTGAGTCAGTGTGGGAATCTCTGCTCTATTGCTAACCGCCTTACTGATCTTATTCCTTAAAGGAAAGAGACATTCAATTTATTTATGGAATCAAAAGGATTTAAATCAGCGGTTCTCAAACTGGGTTGCAACCCCAAAGTGGGTCACAACCGTGTTCTAATAGGGTCGCTAGGGCTGGCATTAGACTTGCTGGGGCCTGGGGCTGAAGGCAATGCCCAAGCCCCTTTCTCCTGCTTCTCATGGCTTCTCCTCTGAAACATGAGGTCAGAGAGGGAGACTCACATAGTCAGTACTCTTCTGTTCATGTTCTCCCTTTGTCTCTCAGATGATTGATGGGAAACCCTTTCTTTTATAGCCTCCAGCCCCCTTGTCAGGTGACTCACTGATCAGCCTTATCAGGTGATCAGAGACCTCTACCAGGTGATCTGATACTTAGTAATCACCCCCTCAAATTCAGATTTGAAAACTGGTTTACCCTGGATGGCAGCCTTCTATTTGTCCAAGAGTGCTCCATTTAAACGGATTATCATCCAAGTTTAATGTCCTTCCATTGTTAGCCCTTTACCACACCACTCTTTGGAATTTTAGCCAAGATGGGGGTAAAAAGGCAGCAGGAAGGCAAAAACAGAACCTTATACTCAAAATGGAGTTTGCAGCTTGATAAAGATAAATATACAAATATACAAAGTTCATAATCTCAAATATGAGTCATAAACTGTGCATAGGCAGATTCCCCAAATAATCACATCTCAAAGCAGATTTCCTTCCTCCTGATCAGACAGCATAAACTGAATTTTTCAATACATTCCCTCTTCTATAGCATCTGGAACTTGCACAGAGTGTTAGGAGTTATGAAGATCATCTAAATAACTCTGCCATAGTGAATAATGGAAATAAAATCATCTTACTGTGAGATATATCAACCGATTGATGATAAAATAGGAGCTAAGGGAGTAAGATGTATGCCCCGGTTCTATTTCTGTGTCACACTCAATTTCCAAGCTTGGGAAAACTACCTATACTGTGCTTAGCCTCACAGAGAGTGTAGGAGGGAGAAGGAGTATATCACGTTCCTAAAGAATGGTGAGTACAGTAAATCAGCGTTCCAAGCTGTAAGAGCATACAATAGTTTGGTGGGAGGAAAAACTGAAGATGACGGTTTGTGGTCTTGTGCTGAATTTTAGCTGGCTGAATCCTCTAACCCCATTATAAATTCCTCAAAAACTGCTTAAAATTGCAAAATGCACAAAATTCCTTAAGCTTGCACTAGAAATTGCTGCTATAACTGTATAAAAGCTTGCTTTAATCAAATGGAAGCTGGGTATACTTCAATGCTGGTTAATACAGTACTTTAAAAATAAAAAGAATTAAAATAGCATGTCAGACTGCTGCAAAACTGAATTGTATGTTTTATTCTTTTTAGTTTAAGGAATAAGTATAATAAATTCTTATCCTCAGTTTGCTAACTCCCAAATCTGTTGATATATATAGATATAGATACACACAAAGTTAAATATTGATACATTTTGGAGATAGAGTAATTACACAAGTGTTTTGAAACCATAATTGCCAAAGCTTTTATTTGGTGAACTTTTTGAGTTTTCTTAACTTGAACTTTTTTTAAACAGGTCGCCAACATGTTCTACATTGTAGTGATTATGGCACTTGTACTGCTTAGTTTTGGTGTTCCCAGGAAGGCAATACTCTATCCTAATGAAGCACCATCTTGGACTCTTGCTAGAGATATTGTGTTTCATCCATACTGGATGATTTTTGGTGAAGTTTATGCATATGAAATTGATGGTAAGATGATGCAATTTTAGAACAATTTATGGAAACTCTCAAGGATTAAGGATATTTTTTTCCAGATGCTGATAGATTGAGGTGTGTTGATGAAACACGAATTTAGTTGTATTGAATTACCTTTTCTTCTTGAGGTATACCCAATTAAGTCCCAGATGTCCAAATGTAGGGAACCCTTTGTCTTGCTTATGCTGAAAAAAGCTTAAACATGACCTAGAATGAGAACTTTTGTTTCTTTTTTGGCCAAAAGGGGAAGTGTCTTCCAATTGGGCTAATCCTAGAGCTGTATTTATTGCATATGCAGCCATCGTGCCAAGATTTTGTTGCTGTGAGCTGAAAAAGCATTTTACTTAACTGATAAAGACCACTCAGTAACTACAGGATGCCTCTCTCTCCTGTAACTTTTTTAAAACTGTTCCTAGTGGTATTTTTTTTAAAGAACAAATTACAGGATAGATGCATACAGCTAGTTATTGCACAATCTTTGAGTGATTCTTTCAGCATCTATATCTGCTATAAGTATTAAAAGTCCTCTCTAAAAGAAAATATGGTCTCTGTGTTTTCTCACCAAAGTATGTGCAAATGATTCACAAGTTGGCCATCTCTGTGGACCTGGAACATGGCTGACCCCATTTCTTCAAGCTGTCTACCTCTTTGTACAGTACATTATTATGGTTAATCTCCTTATTGCATTTTTCAAGTAAGTATATTGTTACTTTCAGATAATTGTTAAGCTGGTGATAAGTACATATCTAACGTGAATAAACTAACTAAAAATAGTTTGATGGCCTAATGGCAGTGGAAGGCACTGCTCTTTGGTAGCTGTGTGTTCTTCAGGTGCTAATCTTGATCCATTACTCTTCAGCACTGTAGGGACAGTCTGCCCAGCTCCTAGGGCAGAGGGATTGTGATACACCCTGCCATGATGCTATGCTTTCTGAAGGCACTGTGTCCAGCCCAAAATTGCAGGGAGGCTAAATGTAACAGAGGGAAAGCTAAGGGAGGGAGAATTTGAGGGCATCCCTGCCCTCCTCTCCTTTCAAAAATAAAAAAGAACAAAATTGGTTCTTGTGTTTATTGCTCCACTGGCATAACTTCATATCCAGAATGGTATTCGAAAGTGCAAACGTTACTTTTTTTGTTTGTTTTTTGTTTTTGTTTTTTTAAATAAAGAGCTTGGCTAGGGATAGCTATAGAGAAGTTTAAAATCAAATTTTGTTTATCTTTCTAATCCATTAAAAACTATTTTGAAAAAGCATTTATAATAGTACACAGCTCATTAAAACTGAAGATTTGCTTAATACATGATTGGTGGGCCTGCTTCCAATTTGCAATAATTAGGGGGGTTAGTATACCAGACCACATTAAATTCAGCCAGTAATTTTAATTTGAAAAAATGAAATTTGACTTAAGTGAACTTCCTTCTGATGGAAGGGACCAAGCGGAATAGGAGAAATGATTTCCCTTGCCCCCCTTAACTACAAACCAGGCAATACACAACAGTGCAAGATCTCCACAATCCTGGTCTCACTGTTGGGCCTGGAACCAGCTAGCTTTACGCAGAAAGTATATAGGTCTGGTGAGGGAGATGGGCTGATTCAGTGCATCTGTCTGGGATTCTCCACTGGCAGGACTCTTGTGGAGTCCGGGCTGAAGTTTAAAAGCTGCTCTTCTCTGACAGAATGCCAGGAGGTACAACATTCTGTCCTGCCTACAGGTAAAAATTGCTGGCACAGCTGACCTTGCAAGCACAGGGGAGTACAATTTGCACTAACTCTATCTGGAGGCATAAGCAAATCTATATTACTAATAACTTGAATAGCATGTTACAGGGAAATAGTAATTCTTTCACTGAATTGACATATCTGAAGGCACAGTGAACTACAAACATAACGGAAGTGCCTTAGAGTCACATTGATGTTTTAATGTAGTTTCTTGTATTCTTGTTTTTTACCTGGTGGCAGGGCATGGTGCCCTGTGTAGTACTTTAAGAAATATGATCTATACTAAATAAAAGGTAAATTAAAAAAAAAATTCCTATTTAAATATTACTTTTACTTTAACACTGACCGGGGAACCTGTTGCAAATTAATGCAGTTTAATTAGCAATCAAAATTAATAAAAGCAAAGATGGTAAATTATAATGTCATTAAATTTAACTTGATAAGCTTAGTTCAATTTTATTCTTCATTAGTTTTCCAAATATACTAAGTTTACTAGTATATAATGAAGTCTCAGCAAAGATTTAATAGCATTGTTTTGTGTTCTTGTGTTACTAGAAAGTGCAAAAAGAGTCCCATTTTTGTGTAACATGTATGGATTAGTAACGTCCTGCTGTACTTTTGCAGAAACACTTATCTGTAACACGTCATTGTTGCTAGTTTATGCCTACACATGAAACAAATCTCTACAGGTTTTACATTTCTGACTTGACATCTGAATCTGCATGCCTAACATTACAAAAAAAAAGTTTCATTTGTCAAACTTATTTGACTTTAGGCTTTTTGCATCTATTTTAGTTCAAGAACAGAATGCAGACTTTTATAATGAAAACTGGCATTTTCTCAGTCAATAAAAGTGTTCCGACGGTATTTTTAATCATAAAAATTGAGCTTTATTTATACCTGTTAAGAAACTGCACACTACAAATTTAAGAAATAAGATTAGATGTTTTCTTTCTTTCTTTCTTTAAATAAAGGGCAGGTGTGCTTTAGGTGGTTCAGATTGTGCTCTTACTACAGTAACTACTACAAGCAATGCTTACATTTATGGGGCCAGATTTGCACAAATTACAGGGATATTGTATGTGTGTGCACACCATGAACTGCACTTGTGCATGTAGACAGGATGATTGCATGTGCAACTGGCTAGTTAAACATTTAACTGGTTGTGTGTTTAATCTAGTTTGCACATACAGTCACAACAAATATGCATGCCAACATACGTGCATTTTTGCCTTGCAGTTACAAAACTGCTGCAGCTAGTTCTGTAATGCCTCAAACAACTGGCAAATAATTATTGTAACTATGACTAGATAGCTAGTCCTTTCCCAGTGATCACCAGTTATGTTATGATACTTAAATTTGCACAGTAGACTTATTCTTAGTACATTACAGAAGGGATCCTAGAGATGAGAGGCTAAACATATGCCCCCTGCTGTGTTCTCTCCACTGCTTCAGACCTTAGCATTTATGAGACTGCCAACATAGTTGCGAATTTTGGTGGTTAGAGTTGTCCATAAGGAACAGAATGAAAACAACCATAGGGCAATGAAGTCAGATCCTGATGACTTCATCACTATCCGCTCGATCTACACAAACAAATAACCAATAGGCAAAATCATGTGATTATTAATATCCTGATCACCATGCCCAAATACACAAAAAGCTGTGTTATCCAGCACTTTACCAATCGTAAAGCTCTATAAACCGGCATTTCTGATCTTCATTGAAAGTCCAGGTTATAGTTCGGTCTGTGTGGGTCCCCGGAAGTAGCGACATGTCACTGCTGCTCCTAAGTGGAGGAACAGCTTCGAGGGGTTTGGAGTGCAGGAGGGGGTACGGGGCTGGGGCGTGGGGTGTGTGTGCAGGACGTGGGCTCTGGGAGGGAGTTTGGGCATGGGAGGGGGCTCAGGACAGGGGGTTGGGGGCACGGGAAGGGTTTCAGAGTGCCGGATCCAGGTGACGCTCACTTCAGGCAGCTCACCGCAAGTGGCAACGTGTCCCAGCAGCTCCTAGGCGGAGGTGCAGCTAGGCGACTCTGTGCGCTGCCCCTTTCCTGAGCGTGGGTTCCACAGCTCCCATTGACCGGGAACTGTGGCCAGTGGGAGCTGCGGGGGCGGCACCTGTGGGCAGAGGCAGCGCACAGAGCTGCCTAGGAATAGCTGGGTCATGTCGCTGCTTGCGGGGAGCTGCCTGAGGTGAGCATCGCACAGATCCAGCACCCTGTCCCCCTCCCATGGCCCAACCCCCTGCCCTGAGCCCCCTCCTACACCCAAACTCCTTCCGAGAGCCCCCCTACCCAAACTCCCTCCATTCCCCCAACATGCCAGATATAAAAGCTTTTACTGTAATATTCTATAAGCTGAAAGAACAACTCTACCATCAGGATGTAGGATATTAGGTTAAAAATTGGTCTTCTAAAACAATGATAAAATTGCAATCTAGTTGCAATGTAACAAAAAGGACACATTTATCCCTAGCAATATATCAAGAAATCGTAGTCTCTGGTCTAACAGTTCATCTGCTTTGGAGAGGATCCCTGTTGCTCTTCCAAAGTTTTCATATTAAAACCAATACATGCACAAAGTTTTTATTTAAAAAACAAACTTTGTGAGAGAGAAGAAATCTCTCATTTATAGGGCCAACTTTCCTGTCTTTTTAATCTGAAATTACTACACTGTTAATGTTACGGTTTATCACAAATGAACCTGAGTGTGAGAGGAGTATAATTCTTTCTTGCCATATTGATATAGCCTTCCCTTGATGCACTTCTAAATCCCATTTAAAAATGTAATGAGTTACTTCTTCAGTAAAGTGAAAATACAGTTATGTACAATCTGTACATTTCTCTACATTTATGCCTTTGTAAAATTCAGAAGGCAGTAAAATTGCTTTGGATAGTAACTAAGGTCTAAAATCTTTGTGTTTAAAACATTTTTACATTTTCCCCCCTTCAGCAATGTGTATTTACAAGTAAAGGCAATTTCAAACATCGTATGGAAGTATCAGCGCTATCATTTCATTATGGCCTACCATGAAAAACCAGTCCTGCCTCCACCTCTTATTATTCTTAGTCACATGGCTTCCTTATGTTGTTGTATATGTAAAAGAAGAAAGAAAGACAAGACTTCAGATGGACCAAGTAAGAACAAATTTTATCCAAGCAATTATTAGTTTTTCTTGTTTTTCTGTTATTAAAGTAAGTTATCAAGAAAGTGGTAATTACTGTTTGGTTACTACTCTTCATTATAATGCACAGAGAGCACAATATAATGTTTAATTCATTAATAATGAAGCAGGTAACTTGTGTATATTTTATTATCATTTAACTCAGTGTTTCCCAAACTTGGGATGCCGCTTGTGTAGGGAAAGCCTTTGGCGGGCTGAGCCGGTTTGTTTACCTGCCGCGTCCGCAGGTCCAGCCGATCGCGGCGGGTAAACAAACCTACACAAGTGGTGTCCCAAATTTGGGAAACACTGATTTAACTAATTTAAAGTGGTTGAGCACTCTTGCATTCTGATAAAACAAATACCTTAAAAGAACTTAGTTTGTAAGTCTTGTTTTATGGGACTGAACCACAACTATTCTATCTGTCATTTTCTACTGCCATGTTATCAGTAACATTCTATGCCAAGCCTCAGATTTCAGTTCTGTCCCATATCAATTAAAATAATCCTTCTGTTATAGCATTTGGAGTTAATATTGGTAAATTGAGCACTAGAGTCTCATTATTTTAAAACTGAATGTAAATACAGTGGACAACTTGGAGAAAATAGCTGCCTATTTGCATGACACTGTGTGTAGGTAAAATAAAATAGTCCCCTTGCCCTATTTATCAGTGTGTCCAATTTTCTGATGAGGGTCAATTCTTTTTTTTTTTTTTTTTTTTTTCTTTCCCATCTTGTTTACTGATTATTTTAATGTATTTCATTATTTACTGTCTTTTCACACTCTTGTTTCATTTTGCTAGTAGTAGTTCCTTGTAAGCACTGGTCCACTTTTCCTGTTTTAAAGTAGTTTTAAAAATATTGACTTTATACAATGCTATATTTCTACACTCTGCTTTAATTCCATTTAGATTTAAATAAATCTTGCAAAGACATCTTACTTTCATGGTGGTTTTTTTAGGGTTGGTTGGATATTTTTTTGTATCAAAACTGTGAGTTTTCAGTTACACATTTTTTCATGAATAGTAACTGATTTCCTTGGAAAACTTCAACTTTTTTAAAAAATAAAAACACCCAAGAAACAGAAAATGAATTTACCATGATGCACTGTGGACAGAGGTTCAGCAAGAGCAGAGACCATGGTATTGTGGGAGATATAGTCTAGCCAGGGAGCCCAACCAAAAGAAGGGAATGGCAACATGAAGTACCCAACTACAACTCCCATGAGGAACCTCAGTGGGATTTCCTAATTGAAACTTTTGGTCTCCAGCCAAAAAGTGTTTTTTTTTTTCCTGAAAATTTTCAGTTTTCAACCTTTTCCCCCCTGTTAAAAAGTTGAAGTTTTCCACCATGGGTAAAACCCATTTTCAACCAGCTCTAGAGAGCATCCTCATTTACCCCATCTCATTGATCAATGTGGCTACTTATTTCAAGCACTTGAGATGTAGCGTAGCCTACTAATCTCCTGAATTGTTGCTTTCTCTTTCATTAGAACTCTTCCTAACAGAAGAAGACCAAAAGAAACTTCATGACTTTGAAGAGTTGTGTGTTGAGATGTATTTCAATGAAAAAGATGATAAATTCCACTCTGGAAGTGAAGAGAGAATTCGAGTCACATTTGAACGGTAGAAAATTTATGTAGAAACTTAAAAATTTAAATAAAAACTTTGACTTATTAAAACCTGTTATCAGGAAAAGGTACAGTGCATATAGTTGCTTGTACAAAGTATTAATGACAATGTTGCATGACACTTTCTTAGCTACATAAAAATTATTACAGACTGTTTTATGCTGTCTGTATTTCTGAGTTGTAGAAGAGCTCCTGACACTTACTAGTGCATAGCAGACAGACTTTTAGTCTCTTTAAAGAGGTCTTCTCAAATGTACTGGAATGGGTGTTAAACAGTACTGTCAGTAGTTCACTGATGTACATTTGTTCCTTGTTGCCTAAGTATGTACAAGTATCCCTTTTTCTACAACAATCCACTGAAATCAACTAGGTCACCCTAAGCCTTTTAAAATTACAAATAATACATTTTCCTTTTTCAAATTGGCAAAAAGAAGTATAGCAAAAGTGTTTCTTCTTTACAGTTTTTGAGAACAAAAAGCTTACCTTTTTTAAATTATTTTTTAGGGTTGAACAAATGTGCATTCAGATAAAAGAAGTTGGTGATCGAGTCAACTACATCAAACGGTCATTGAACTCTTTAGATTCTCAGATTGGCCACCTACAGGATCTCTCTGCTCTCACTGTGGATACTCTAAAAACACTAACTGCACAAAAAGCTTCGGAAGCCAGCAAAGTCCATAATGAAATTACCCGGGAGTTAAGCATTTCAAAACATTTGGCACAAAACCTTATTGATGATGGTTCTCTGAGATCTTCAGTATGGAAAAAACACAACATTGGAAATGTGTTTGGTTCTTCTTTTCCACAAGGAGACCTCGAGAGTAGTAATGCTTTATTATGTAACATTTCTATGCACAGTGAAAGAGATATTCAACATAAGACAATTGGCCAGGATTTAGCTCCAGTTTCCAGGGGGGAAGAACTAAACTTTCAAGAGGCAGGTTCCTCAGGCAGTGCCTTTTTTCCAAGTGCTGTTTCGCCTCCAGAACTTCGACAAAGATTACAGGGTTCAGAGATCTCAAAATCCATTAATAAAAATAAAAAATTAGGCAATTCATCGAACAGCATGCCACGTCTAACATCCCCAACAGCTAAGTTATTTGTTAGCACTCCATCTCAGCCGAGTTCTAGAAGTCAGTTGGAATCTACAGCAAACAATGAAGCAGCAATTTTATCTAAGGCTACAGAAGGAGATAGTAACGTAGAATTTGGTGCATTTGTGGGTAAGTATAACAAAGTAGATTGTGAATGTCCTGAAGTCATTAGTAGCTGCTCTTATCCTCTTGCTTCTGGCTCTGCTTGCCTTGCTTTCACCCAGCCTTGTGTTGAAAGTGGAGGATACGTTAATTGTGGTTTTATTCATGATGAAGATGACACTAATGATTACAACTGCAGAAGCAGAGTTGATACATTTGATGAGCAGTCCTCTGAGAACAGTATCCAAAAGAAGCTACCGCTGTCATCCAGCAACCAAGCATCAACAGTAAACTGTGACCCAAGTGGTGGTTCACGTAAAAAATTGAATATTAAAGATGAAGTTTCCAAAAGCCAGCATGTTCAAGCAATGGAACCACCAAATAGAGATTTAAGTTCTAACATCATTACAGGACTACTTCAAAAACTGTGGACCAAATCGAAACCACAAGGTTTGATTTACCAAGAATTGTATGGTATTTTGGGTTTATTCTGGTTGCAGGTGACTTTATTCTACCATTGTGCTTTGCTATTTTGCTTTAAATCTTTCTATTTTCTCTAAACTGTATGGATGTTTTTTAACTTTAAAATTATCATTTCTTTATAATTCTGTCACATAGACAATATTTTTCAGACAAACATTAGACAACTATTGACAAATGACAGCTTCTTAATAATGTTAGCAGCTCTACAGCTCAGGTGAACTCTAGAAGGACTAATTTTAAGGTCCTGTTTTTTGCCCATGCAAAAAATATTGTCTATTTTTTGAGAAATTGCGGAAGACTTGTGTTGGCTAATGGAATCATGAATAAATATCTTTGTGGTATCTGTGTCAAGCTCAGGGATCCTTACTATGCTATCCTCCTCAACACTTTTGTGACCAGGATCTACCACTGTTACCTACAGTAATACTGTAGTAGTGCAGTAATATTTTAAAAACTTTCCAAAGTCCTTTTTTAATCTAATGTTACATGCTGCTTCAACTTTTGCATAACAGTAAAAAGGTACATGTTTTTTATTAGACTCTTTAGACACACTTTGATTAATTAAACAGTGGCAGATTCATTTCGAAAGTAGGTGTTGGTTTACTAACTAAATACCGTAAATTAGAGACCAAATACTTTAAATTAGACCCAAATACAAGTGGAGGATCACAGTCTTAACCTGTCAGGCACCTGTGCAAGTGTTATCTTGCAAAAGCAATAGTGTAGGGGAATCCAAAAACATATTTTCCAAGTGATATTTACTATTTAAAGTTAAGTTTAAATTTAGATAAGAGTTTTGTTCTGATGCCATGATGTTTAGGTGCTCAAAAAGTAATATTTTTTTGACTTGTAGGGGGGATGGCAAGCCATTTAATTGTGTTATCATTAACAGGGCTCATTATAATACAGAAAAACATTTATACTTTATTTGTTTTTTTTAAAGCAGAAAACACAAAGCATTTGAAATCTGACTGTATAGCTCAGTCAGGTCTTTAATTAACCACAGCACTAATAAGGTTAAGTATTAAGTATACTTATTTTACTTGAGCCATGCCTTCGTTATATGGTCCTTTCTCTTCTGGAATTTAGAATATACTCTTCATCCATAATATACATGTTTTATAGAAATTCAGATGCGGTGCAGCTATATGTTGTCAATCGATTATGTTTGTTTTCATTATAAAACCATGCACATTGGTGGAATTCTGATAATATTTCCTGTAACTATATTAGGATGAAGTGTATATTTTAAAAACCTACCACAGGAAACTCTGCTTTTTCTATACTTTACGCATTTATGTAAAAATAGTGAGACTCAGAATATCAAATAAAATGGTATATGGAACTAATCTAATTTATTTTCTTGAAGGAGTAATATTTTTAAATTGTATGAATTTTATTGTGGTGGTGTTCTACATGTTTTAATATAGGAAAAGCAACAGTTCCTTATCTTTACTAACCTATCATTTATATCCATTTACTTCAGAGTTCTTCATTATAAGTCTTTCTCAGTGAAAACACTGGCAGCATTTATTACAGTTTGTCCCCATCATAACAACAATATCTGGCATGTTCCAAATTTTTTCAGTGTTATCTTTGATACTGAATACTTTATATTTTTCAATTTACTGGGTCAAAGGTCACAGAGACAGCATGGAGTTACAACAGTTTAAGGAGTCAGCAATTAAAATTAAAGAAAAAAATGCTAATATTGAGGTAAGACTGAAATTTTTACTTTCAAATTGCAAATCAGTAGTTTAATGTGGACATAGACATCTTTTTCATGTATAGTTTACAGTAGATTTTTGAAAATGTAAGAATAGATTTTTGCAAAACTAATATGAAAAGAAATTTACTAACAATCAGTAACAATGCAACCTTAACTATGGAGGAACTACGGTTGCTGCAAAATATGAAACTAGTAAATATTTAACAGGATTTGATAGTATGTAACCTCACAGAGGCCAACATTAGTCTAGCCATTAAAGTAAATTAAAAATGATATTTGACTTTAATTAGAATAATAATATAGATTCCAAGGGCAGAAGGGACTGCTGTGATCATCTGTTCTTACCTCTGTATAATACAGGCCATACACTCTAGGGATTGTTTTGGGGAAGTTAGATCTTTTAGAAAAACATCCAATCATTACTTATTTACATTATCAACATTGCTATAAAATGAAACATTACCAATTTGAAATTCATAACTTAAAAACAAACTGCAGTATTTAAGATTGAAATTCACTATTTGTCTTCGTGTCTTACAACTTATAAAATAAGATGACGTAGCGTAATTCACTTCCTCTGGCAGACAGTTTCTTTTAAAATTGTTACACCTAATTCCAAGGAGAAAATCTTACTTCTGAATTAACTTCAAGATTAGATGGTTATCTGTTACCAAGCTGGTGATGGACCCTTGCTGTTAGAGCGTGAATAGATGATGTACTTTGCACTGAGATAGTCAAGAGTATTACTAAAAGATTGCACTGAATGCTGATATAAAGTATGCATCTGTTTATGGTACTGGAAATGCTTTAAATAGTCAAGACTCAAGACATACCGTCTATACTCGTTCATTAGCCCGTTTGTTTATAAGCCGACCCACCAAGATGGTTAGGTAAATATAGCAAAAACTGTATGACCCTTTCATAAGCCAACCGTATATTTCAGGGGTTGGCAAACTTTGGCTCCTGGCCCATTAGGGTAAGCCGCTAGCGGGCCTGGACATTTTGTTTACCTGGAGCGTTCACAGGCACGGAGCCCCTCAGCTCCCAGTGTCGGCGGTTTGCCGTTCCCAGCCAATGGCGCACCACTTCCCTGCAGCTCCCATTGGCTGGGAACGGTGAACCGCAGCCACAGGGAGCTCAGGGGCTCCATGCCTACAGACGCTCCAGGTAAACAAAACGACAACGTATTAGATATTCAATTCAATGATTCCATAGAGTTTAAAATCATCAAATGTTGGTGTAGACCCGTTTATAATCTGACCCCTGCTCTTTGATGCGTCACTTTTTTACCAAAAATATTCGGCTTATGAACGAGGTATATACGATAATTCGAATTTCCACTGAAAGTAAGAGGTGGATATGGGAGGGATATCTTAATCTACAGCTACTATAATGTGGAAGATCCAGCTTGCTCATTGTAGCAGAGAGAGAATAGGGTACCACTTGCAGTTATGTCAACAGATTCTCAAATAGATGAGGTGAGGCTTTAGATACGTAGTTGGGAGAATTCCAGTTTAGGGTACATTCATAACACTTCAAGAAAACTGGAATTCTGAAAGAGTTTTTTTTCTGAAGCGCTCAATTAATACAATATGTGACCTTGAAGCCTTTTAATTTGTGTAACTCAGTCCATTATTTCACTTTCTTCCGCAGGAGCAACAAGAGGACTTTAAGAAAGCTATTCTGGAGGGCATGGAGATGACCAAACATCAGGTATATGGGAAGCATTTGATTTTGTTACAGTTGAGGAACCATTGCATCTGGCTCGGTACTCTTTCATGCGTGAGTTCTAAAATGAAGTATGAGAGAACCCCAAAAATCCCTTGTGTGAAGAGGAAAACTTTGGAGATAGTGGAGGTTACACCAAAGAGCAGAAGCACGTTGATACTTATCTGAGTGAATCACTTTTTTGATTTGCATGTCCATAGACCCACTCCCCGCAATTGCTAGTAGCAGTTGCACCATAGTTAAGGTTGAATTTCTTTCCATTATAACTCCATTCTGAATACTCCCACTTCCTTTCCCCTTTCTTCCCCCTAAAAAACCCCAAATCCTTACACCCCCTCAGATAGGAGTCTGATCTATGACCAACTGAGAATTTCCCCACCAAATTTGAAATTAATCTGACAAACTGTTCATAAATTATTATGCCCTTTATTAAAAATAAAAATAATAATAAAAAAAAGTTTAATCAAAGTTAGCAAATTCTTCTAATTATTGTTTGCCATATACAAGCAAAAAATCTGAAAGGATATAAATTAGTCTCAAGTTTTACTGACCAAGGCCAGATCTCAGGCAAGCTAATTAAAAGTTAATGTTTAATTGCAAGTAGGATGTTAGGTGCCTGGCACCCCTGACCCTTAGATTGTCTTCAGGAGGGAATCCCTTCTCTTGCAGGCTTTACTGTTGTTGGGAGCATTGGAGAATTTTAGCTGGCCCAGCAATCTAGCAAGTTTTGTAAAGCCGGGAGCTAGCAAGTCCTCTGCAGTACTAGAGGTTCTTAAGCACCACAGGTGATTGGATGCACACAACTTCTACCTTGGTGAAGGAGGGCCTGCAGTTGTGGGCATATTGAATAACAGAGGCTGCCTGGAAATAGACAACAGATTCTGTATAAGTGCTTGAACCTGGTTTCCATCTGCTCTATCTGTGGGCAAATGCTGCCTCTTCACCTTTGGAGGCGCCAAAGTCAGCTCAGCACATCAGGCTGGAGCACTTTAGTTGCAAGTCTCTAGGGACCAATGTTCCCTCTAATTTTTCCCATGCATGTGTGGAATGAGTTTTGTTATGTGCACCAATATGGAGGTGATGTGTGGCAGGGGTGGGGCTGAGGGATTCAAAGTGTGGAAGGGGGCTCAGGGTTGGGGTGCGGGGGGTGTGTGGCCTCAGAGGTGGGGCCAGGGATGAGGGGTTCAGGGTGCAGGAGGGGGCTCGAGGGTGGGGCCAAGGGTTGGAGTGCAAGGAGGGAGGGCTCCAGCTGGGGGTGCAGGCTCTGGGCTGGGGCCGGGGATGAGGAGCTTGGGGTGCGGGAGGGGGCTCAGGGCTGAGGCAGACGGTTGAGGTGGGGGGAGGTGAGGGCTCCAGCTGGGGGTGCAGGCTCTGGGCTGGGGCTGGGGATGAGGGATTTGGGTTGTAGGCTTCCCCAGGGCCACGGCGCGGTGAGAGGACTCCCCCCATCCCTCTCTCACCGCAGCAGCACCTGGGCTGGGGTTGGGAGAGGTGCCTCTCCCCAATCACAGCAGCTCCAGGGCTGGGGGAGAGTGTCTCTCCCCGCCTCTCCTGGATATGACAGCTCCGGGACTTGGGGAGAGTGAGCACCTGTGTGGCCCTTGATAGGCTGCTGAGCAGCTTAGAAGGAACTTAACTAGGGACACCTGTTTTCTGGAATCAAACACTACTGAACAACTTCTTGACGTTGACAGTTCTGAGCGTTTCCAATATCAGTAGAATCAGGACATGTACTATGGCTGCCTTTTTAAGCATACCAGCATTTTCAGGACACTTAAAATAGTTACCCTTTGCTTGATTGACTGGGAAATGGGTTCCTACTTCTAATGTAAGCACTGCAAAGCCATGGCTGCAAGACACCAGATGATATGATGATGATAGTAATTGAAGCCTAGATACTGCAGTGAGACTGGAGCTATGGATCCATATGCATCCGAAGAAGTGGGCTGTAGTCCACGAAAGCTTATGCTCTAATAAATTTGTTAGTCTCTAAGGTGCCACAAGTCCTCCTGTTCTTCTTTTTGCGGATACAGACTAACACGGCTGCTACTCTGGAGCTATGGATGACACTCAATTCCCCCTCTGAGTGCATACATAAAATTTCTGTTTAGGAATATGAAAGAAATCATCTTTGTCAAGCCAACCTTAGCAGTAGAACTGGTTTTAAAAAGGTTTACAACTTCCCAACAGTCATAGGCCTGAAAATCAGTTGAATTCACAGCCTTTCAACTTCTGTGCCTCTGCTCTTTAGAATCATGGATCTGTGGATTTTACTCAAGTAATTTTTGGCTTTCAGGTGGCTGAAGATCTGAAATGCATGAATATATATGAGTATATTCTGTGATTAGGTTGTATCTCTAATTTTTGCTAGAAAAACAAAACTTTAAGTTGAGTATTGTTTTGAGGGCTGGCTGTGGCTCTGCATGTGTTCAGAAAGTATTTAATTATCTCTAAAACCTACCACCTGCACAAACTGAGGATGAACTTACTCCCTGCATAGGCCATGATGCTGCAAAGATGTAATGTAAATAGTGGGACTGCTCACATCCTTAAGATGAAGCACAAGCCTTTAGTCTTTGCTGGAGAAGGTATTTAAACAATTGGATTGATCAATGCCAAACTTTCTAGTAATCAACCCAAATAAATGCCTCCACTTTGGTCTACTAAGAGCCAGTTTGCATATTCCTTTTCATTGGAATTTGGCTTTTTTTAAGCCTGTAGACATTACCCCTTTCTTTGCTTGTTACTTGGTGATCAAATGTGTTAAATATATGCAGCCTCTAAATTGTCATATTAGAGGTAGAGAAGTAGTGTTAAGATTTTCTAGCTTTTTAGAGGAGATGACTTAGAATATTTAAATGACTTATTGATGTCTTTGAAAATTAGCTTCAATTTGTAACACTAAATTATACAATGGAAGCTAATAATTCAGTTTTCACATATGGCTACAGTATATTTACAGCAGTGAAATATCAGTGTCAATTTACTTTTCTTTGGTAGTAAATATTCAGAATCTGGGTTAGTAAATCCTAAATTCATATTTCCTTTCAAAAATTAACCTGGTTTAATTTTACAGATCTTAAGAGTTAGAATTTGAAAAATACAATGCTAATTAACGTATAAATTGTACCATAATTAAATTATACTTGAATAGTCTATTAATATTACCGTATATGTACAGATATGAGTAGCAGAACTTAGTATTTCTAAAGGTGTGAGATGTTCAATATATTTTTCCGTTATCTTTGTTTACTGTAGCTCTCTTTATTTCTCCTCAAACGTATATCTAGTTTTTATTACTTATTCTAAAATTATTAGACTCAAGATAGCTGTTAAGTAGGTGTTCATCTTTAAAATTTGTACTGAATTAACGAGAAAGTATTTGTGAATTTAGCAAGCTGTAAAGGTACCCTTAAAATGTATTTATGCTGTAAATTTGAAAGATGGTACTAGAGAGAGAGATAATAGTTATATGCTGAACACTAAGCAGATTGCCAAGCTGCAAGAGGGGGAAAGTACTTCAGGAATGATGAATCATAACAATCTATGTGTTTATAATACAGGGCAACCTAAAACAGGTTAATTCTTGTGATGGATTTACAGAATATGACAAAAACTCTTTGGCAATTCATTCAGAACAATGTAAGTGTGCTAATTTTTCTGGTAGTCCAATGTTATCTCTGAATTTTATAAATTATGCATAATACTTCATCATTATTTCAAAGGGTGCATCAACATAAAAATCAAACTTGTTTCTGAATATACATTTAACCTGCTGTTACCCGAAACACCAGAGGACTCTTAACTGAGAATAGGGAAGAATCTTCTGTATATTCTAAAGGTTTTTAATTTTGTCCATTTGTTTAGTCAGATGTACTGTTTTTTCCAAGATAGTCAGGTTCCCCTGTTCATGTTCTTTTTCACATAGTTACACAGAGAAGAGAATCAAATTTTTTATAAAAAATGGAAAATGTTACTTTAAAATGACAAAAATTACAGGGAGATATAGATGTTACTACTTGAAACTAATAATTCATCTACTTACAAATGACTAGATTTGAGCATGAGGGTGTTTCCTTTTAAACTTACTTTAAATATATGTTTCAAACCATTTTTTTTTGTCCTCTTGGAAGACATGCCAAGTAACACAAAGTAAATTTTGTGAGTGTTTAAATTCTTTTATTAAGGGCTAGATTAAATGGCTCAGTTGCCCACTTTGTTAGGAAAGATTATTTTGGTAAACACATACTTGTCTGAATCTCTTGTAAGATTGTAAATTCATTTCTTTTCTAGTTCACAACAAAAGTAGAAGAGCATCAGCTGAAGATACTCAGCAAGTAGACTCTAAGGCTGCATTGCTCACGGTTTGTATACACCAGTTGACAGTTTTATCAGATTTCTCAAAGAATTTCTATAAAATTATAACTAAAATAAAACATTTTATTAAGATATAGTTTAATACTTACTTCAGATTTAGACCAATTGACATCCAGTGGTGGTATTCACTGTGAACTTGCTTGCCTAGTTAAAATAAAGAAATGTACCTCTATAAAACTGGGATCTGTCTGTCTTCTGAGGAGATTATGCTCAGTAAGAGATACAGTGCAGGATTTCAAAGAGGGCTTTTGATAAACAATGAAAGGAAAGGAATCCAGATCTGACTGTATCCATCATTGCCCCCATCTCTGGACACATGCTCCCTGCAGAACTAGATTCCCCACAGATACTCAACAGTTGGTCAAAAATCATCATGGGAATGCTAGAAACATATGACTGTTAGGAAATCAGTATGAAGCTGAAACACGATGATGTACAGAGAGAGAAAAATAGATGGGCTACATGGAAAGAGTAAAGCTCAGTTTGGGGTGTTCTCCAGTAGGTTCAGGAGGAAACAGCAGAGGTCCTGTTTTGAGTGGGAGGAAGGATAAGGAGTTGAAGATTAGTGTATTTGTCTTCAGTACAGTTATGTGAGGATAAGCATTAACTTGTGATACTTTACTGTTTTTATAAAGAATGTTCTCACTTAGGAGTAAAAGGGTTTAAATAATCCACTAAATAATCATAATGGATATAATCACCTTTTCTATTGTGTTAATCAGTTATTTGTTCTTGTATATCTTAATATATTATCCTTGCAGTATGTTATGATATCCTTCCACTATATTTGAATCTTTCACTTCAACTACTTTATCAATACAGTCCTGAGAAATAATGCTAATAGTACCTTTTATTTTCATATCTCAACATAGACTATACAAAGAGGTTAAGTAAACTCATTCTGCTTTCAGTATTGGGGGAAAATACTTGTGATTTTTTCTTTTTCTTTTTGATTTAAAGGATTGGTTACAAGGTAGACCTTCAAGTAGCAATCAAATGTAAGTAAGTTTTCTAATCAGTGATGGTAGAATTGTCCAGATATTTTCTGATGCACTGTTATCTTTCTTTAGGGCTTTGGTTTTTAATTTTGGCATTTAAGTTACTATGGCAGTGGTTCTGAAACATTGTAGTTGACTTAAAAAATGAATATGAGCATGAATCTCTGAAATGTAATCTCTAAAAACTAGAAAATGGTAGGCATTTTAAAAATCAAAGGGAGAACTGAAACACCATATTGTAAATAGTCAACTATTTTGCAGTAGATCAAGTCTTACAATAGTCTTGCATTAATATCTTTTTAAATTTTTTATATGGCACTGGAGAGCAGCTCCTTTCAACTCAGTGAGCAATAATTAAACAAAATAAAGTGAAAAAGCGAGTAAATTATGTTTTCATTAAACTGTTTACAAACATGATTTGTTTTATTTGAATGACTGGTATACATGTAAGTTAAATAAAACATCTGGCCAGTGGCCTTTTTTCCTAATAAATGACTAATTTTATTCATTGAAATGCATTGACAAGTTCCATTTAAGTTAATAGAGCCACACATGCACATCTGAGGGTAGAATGTGCATCTAAATGAAATGGTCTAATTTAGAGAGACAGGGTGGTGAGGTAACATCTTTTATTGGACCAACTTCTATTGGTGAGAGTGACAAGCTTTCGAGTCACAGCTCTGTGTGTCTCTCTAATATCCTGGGATTGAAAGAGCTACAACTACACTGCATACATGGTCTAATTTGACACTAGTTAGTGAATGTGTTTTTAACTATATATTTTTAGCTTTCTGGATCCTTAACCTACCTTTTTATTGTGAATCCTCCCCTGAAACTACACAGTTATTACATTCATTAGTAATTGATCCCATTTAGTTAACTGTTTAATAAAGCCATAGATTTAATAATCTGATAATTGAAATAGAAACTGAACAGGTAGTTTTCAATTCAACACCTCTATGGGATTTAGCTCTTGTAATGAAAAGTTGATATGCTGTCATACATGAGGAGTTTATAGTAAGGCTTTGACAACATACAGATACCTAATCTGGGTGTGTGTGGGTGTGGGTGTGTGTGTGAGAATAATTAAGAAACTTTCTACTGTCCTTGAAAAGTACAGTAAAGTAGTAAAACAATATTGCAAGCTCCACAAAGTGACTCCAGGCTGCTGTATCAAAATCATAAAGAATAAAAAAAAAAGGGGCTATCTTACAAGTGACATCTAATACTTTTGTGTGTCACACTCTTTCTCTCTTTTACAGGCCTTCTGAAGAAGATGCTTTGAATGGTAATTTTTTTTGCCTTAATGCAAACAAGCGGAGGAACATTTTCAACAAACACAACACATGTACTACATATTCTAATATGAGAATATATTTAACATTTGGTAGCAGAAAGGAATTATAAGACGATAGGAAATGAAGGTGAAAACCAAACAGAAAGTGACTTTTATTTGAGAGTGCTAGGAAAAAAAATGTAAATTATGGATTTTGAAAGCAGTAATTAGTGAGAGAACTATTTCTTTGTTTTCTGCTTGTGGAATGTGTGCTCTTTTGTATTTTTGAAAGTGTAAAAGTGAGTGTTAAATAGTTATCCTCAGTCATAGACATAAGTGACTAATACAATCCATAACTGTCATAAGGTTTAAAAAATCATTCATATTGCACATACAGGCTTCATAATTTATCAAATATTCAAGAACTAAATGTAATATCTGAGATTTGCAAAGCAACTTTTTTTTTAGCTCAGTATTCACTTTGAGAACATAGGAAGCAAAAAGTAGAAGAAATGCACCCTTTGCACGTATGAAGATTTAACACACATGCTCGTGCAGTATACAGCATCTCTTATCTGTCTTGACTTTTGTAGGTATTGCTTCTCCTTTCAAGCCGATCATGGACACCACTTACTACTACTCAGGTCAGTATCATAAAACTAATAGTTTAAGTTTAAAAATTCTCATTTCTTTTTATTAGGTCTGAGAGTTCATGATTTCTATAACTTTCCTCTACAGCTGTGGAAAGAAATAACTTGATGAGATTATCACAGAGCATTCCATTCACTCCTGTGCCTCCAAGAGGTAAGAAGCTTAATCTTTTTAATTGGAGTAGGTGGAAGAGAGTTCAGAATGAGGGTTTAATGTTGGTTCATTGACAACTCTGGCAAACTTTAAAAAATTGCTCAATTATTTTTAATACAGAATGGGCAAACCAAACTTGATCAACCATTTTGGCAGCATCTCAAAAATACATTACAGGACAATAAATAGAAGTCTAGTATCAGTATCTCACAAGACACTCACAAAATGCAGACTTCAATTATCATAGAATCATGGAATATTATAACGTCACATCTTTACTAATGCAGCTTGTTTGCGTAAAGGAAACTGTATGATTTAATTCTAGTAGTCTTCAGAGTTATAAAACTTCTCTGAAAAGCATTATGTAAATTGTGTGGAAAAGCTCTTTAAACTGACACTTTTTTTCTGCCTTGTTATGCTTATTTTATAAGGTTTCCATCATTGTGGTAACTAGGCATGCTTTGCTTGATTTAAACTGAGTGATTAATACTTCCAATAAGAGAAGCAAAAACATCATGGTCCTCTGCTGGTTTAAGAAAGAGATTAGAGAGGGTTCTTCCAATCTGTTACGAGCTCCCAATTGCATTAGCAATTTAACATCTTAATTTATCCATGTCTAAAACATATTTAAATATTTGCAGCCTTGTTAATATATTTCTTTTCAGAGTTTATTACAATTAACCTTTCTGCATTGTTATGTTACAGGTGAGCCAGTCACTGTGTATCGCCTTGAAGAAAGTTCTCCCAACATCTTGAACAACAGCATGTCTTCCTGGTCACAGCTAGGACTCTGTGCTAAAATTGAATTTTTAAGTAAAGAGGAGATGGGAGGTGGATTACGTCGAGCTGTTAAAGTAGCATGCACTTGGTCAGAATATGATATTCTGAAATCAGGACATCTTTATATCATCAAATCTTTTCTTCCTGAAGTTGTGAATACTTGGTCAAGCATTTACAAAGAAGAGACAGTGTTGCACCTCTGTTTGAGAGTAAGTTTTATTCTTGACAATTATTAGACATTGACAGGCAAAAATATTAAAAATACATTTTCAGTAACTAGTATACAACGAAGTTTTGATGCTTCTAATGTTCTACACAAATCAAAGGCCAATTTAAATATTTCTTGTTCAAAAGATTTTTATTTTGTGTCAAATAGTTCAATCTCTTGACACAGAAGGAATTAAAGCAGTTGTATAGTTGTACACAACTTCTAACCGGGAGTAAAAGGATAGACATTAACCTTCTTGCTGATATTTTATTCCCCAAATTTTCCCCGACATTATTTAATGCAGTACTGAAGTATGGACTTTCAATTGTAGGAAATTCAACAGCAGAGGGCAGCACAGAAGCTCACGTTTGCTTTCAATCAAATGAAGCCTAAATCCATTCCATATTCTCCAAGGTAAGGGTGTTAAATTATTCATGACACTGCACGCTTTCTACTAGCCAAGTATACTTTTATGCATATTACCATTTGAAAAAAATGTGTCCTCGGATTCAGTACACTTTGCAAAAACACGATTTAAGAAGTGTCAACATGTAAACCTTCAGCCACTGCCTTGGGAAAGAATATTTCCTGTTGGTACTTAACAAGGACTAGACTTAACTTGTATTTTAGAACCTAGCCAGATTTAAAAATAAGTTTGTCAAACCAAAAGATTTATCAGGCAGCAATTGCGTAATTGCCTTATCTTATTGGTTTTCGTAATATTTCTGAAATATATTCTTTATAAGGTTCCTGGAAGTTTTCCTGTTATATTGCCATTCAGCTGGACAGTGGTTTGCAGTTGAGGAGTGCATGACTGGAGAATTTAGAAAATATAACAATAACAACGGTGATGAAATAATTCCAACTAACATGCTAGAAGAGGTCATGCTAGCATTCAGCCACTGGACTTATGAATATACAAGAGGGGAGTTGCTGGTACTTGACCTGCAAGGTAATATACTTATTTTGAAATTGGGATTAGGGGCAATTCTCTTTACAGTAGCACCTTAATGAATGATTGTGAATAGTGTTCATAGCATTACATAATAATTTTGGTCCACTTTACTTGAATGAGCAGTGGGCTTACTTGATATGCCATTACAATGCTATAGGAAAAACTTAGGACAAAAGTTGAATTCTTATTTTCTTTCTTAGGGTGTGTACAATAAAAAATGCTAACATGTATGTGTTGGCATCTTCAGTCCATATCTGTAGTATCTTAATTTATCCTCAAGTGTCCATCAGACATGAAAACACTCAAAGCTAAGATGTAGGAATCTTATTCTCTCTGGGCAAAATTCACCTTGTGTAGTGGGCTTGCATGCTGTTCAAGAACCACTTAAGCTTTCAAAATAGGGCTCGAATGGGATTTAAGTGGTGCATAGAGTTTGGGAGGGAGCCATCTGTACAGGAGTGAATATCGTCCCGTAAATTTTTACTTTCTATCTTGATTTATGTTCTTGATGACAAATTTGGAAATCCTTACTGCTGAAGGATTCTGGTTTACAGTGTTAATTTATTCATGTACTGTATCCAGTTTAACTCTTTTATATTTTGTGTGAAGGAGTGGGTGAAAATTTGACAGATCCCTCTGTGATAAAAGCTGGAGAAAAAAGGTAAGATTAATGGGTTTTGTTATGAAAAATTAACTTGTATTTAATGTTTGACTTGGACAAATACATACCATTCTTTTGTATGCTTTATTTTAAAGGTCATATGATATGGTGTTTGGTCCCGCCAACTTAGGAGAAGATGCAATCAAAAACTTCAGAGCTAAGCACCATTGCAATTCTTGCTGTAGGAAACTTAAACTTCCTGGTATGTGGGGGGGGGGTTGTGTTTTTTGTTTGTTTTGTTTGTTTTTTGTTTTTTTACCCTTACTATTCATTAAATTGTGTGTAGCTATGTCACAAGTTGAAAATTTAAAGAATATGGAAAATAGTAACGTTAATTCTAGCATTTCACCATAGTAATTTTGTAATGCAAGTTTGTGTGTTATTTCCTAGGTTTAAAAAAAAAAATGAAAAAAACAATTCTTCAAGCATGTGTCAGTTCATGGATCCCAATGTAGGTGTGAATGCGTCCCATGAGCACAAGAGTGAACTTCTTTTGAATAGCAGTGTCAAGGGCTCCTTATGCTCCCATACAAGGGCATAAAGGCTCGGGCAGCCTGGACTGGCCCTCAGTTACCTCTTGCCACCCATGGCAGTGAGATGGAACACAGCAAATGTCCAACCCACTCTCTTCAGAGACCCTAAACTGGTTCTTTTTCAAGCTATTTGGTGATGATCAGGGATCCTAGAAATCCTTTTGCTATGGAAAAATGCAGAAAAATACGGAATTTGCATTTTTACAGAGAATCTTTTAGTTTTTACATTTTTTGAAAAAATAAAAACTCGTTAACTATTAATAAGGCTAAGATTTTGTCAGGGATATTGTTAGTAAAAGTCACGGACAGGTCACGGTTTCCGTGAATTTTTTCTTTTTTGCCTGTGACCTGTCCGTGACTTTTACTAACAATATCCCTGACAAAATCTGCAGCTCAGGGGCTTGCCCCAACATCCGCGGACCTCGGGGGTTCCTCCAGTGGCCAAGGGCTATGGGGTTCCCCCGCCACCAGTGGCGGACGGTAGGTCTCAGGGTTCCCACAGCGGCCGGGACCTGCGGGGTACCCCAGCGCCCACGGTGGCCAGGAGCTGCAGGTGCAAAAAGTGAAATCCTTGCAAGCTGCATGGAAACTTCTTAAAGACACCATAGTAGAGGCTCAACTTGCATACCCAACATTAAAAAAATGTAGTAACCAAAAAAGTGCCACCGTGGCTAAACAACTAACATTGATAGGCAAAAAAGCATCCTTTAAATAGTGGATGTTAAATTCTAGTGAGGAAAATAGAAAGGAGCATAAACTCTGGCAAATGAAGTGTAAAAATATTATTAGGAAGGCCAAGAAAAAAATTTGAACAACAACTAGCCAAAGACTCAAAAAGTAATAGCAAAAATTTTTTTAAGTATGTCAGAAGCAGGAAGCCTCCTATAAACAACCAGTGGGGCCACTGGATGATCGAGATGCTAAAGGAGCACTCAAGGACAATAAGGCCATTGCGGAGAAACTAAATGAATTCTTTGCATCGGTCTTCATGGCTGAGGATGTGAGGGAAATTCCCAAACCCCAGCCATTCTTTTTAGGTGACAAATCTGAGGAACTGTCACAGATTAGAGGAGGTTTTGGAACAAATTGATAAACTAAATAGTAATAAGTCACCAGGACCAGATGGTATTCACCCAAGAGTTTTGAAGGAACTCAAATGTGAAATTGCAGAACTACTAACTGTAGTCCGCAACCTATCATTTAAATCAGCTTCTATACCAAATGACTGGAGGATAGCTAATGTGACCCAATTTTTAAAAAGGGCTCCAGAGGTAATCCCGGCAATTGCAGGCTGATAAACCTGACTTCAGTACCAGGCAGACTGGTTGAAACTATAGTAAAGAACAAAAATGTCAGACATATAGATGGACATAATTTGTTGGGGAAGAGTCAACATGGTTTTTGTAAAGGGAAATCATGCCTCACCAATCTACTGGAATTCTTTGAAGGGGGTTAAAAAGTATGTGGACAGGGGGGATCCAGTGGATATAGTGTACTTAGATTTTTCAGAAAGCCTTTGAAAAGTTCCCTCACCAAAGGCTCTTAAGCAAGCTAAGCTGTCATGAGATAACAGGGAAGGTCCTCGTACAGATTGGTAACTGATTAAAAGATCGGAAACCAAGGATAGGAATAAATGGTCAGTTTTCAGAATGGAGAGAGGTAAATAGTTGTCCCCCAGGCGTCTGTACTGGGCCAAGTCCTATTCAACATATTCATAAATTATCTGGAAAAAGGGGTAAACAGTAAGGTGGCAAAATTTGCAGATGATACACAACTGCTCTAGATAGTTAAGTCCCAGGCAGACTGCGAAGAGCTACAAAAGGATCTCTCAAAACTGGGCAATAAAATGGCAGATGAAATTCAGTGTTGATAAATGCAAAGTAATTCATATTGGAAAACATATTCCCAACTATATGTATAAAATGGTGGGATCTAAATTCGCTGTTACCACTCAAGACAGAGATCTTGGAGTCACGGATAATTCTCTGAAAACATCCACTCAATGTGCAGCGGCAGTCAAAAAAGCAAACAGAATGTTGGGAATCATTAAGAAAGGGGTAGATAATAAGACAGAAAATATGTCATATTGACTCTATATAAATCCATGGTATGCCCACATCTTGAATACTACGTGCAGATGTGGTCGCCCTATCTCAAAAAAGATATAATGGAATTGGAAAAGGTTCAGAAAAGGGCAACAAAAATGATTAGGGTATGGAACAGCTTCCATATGAGGAGAGATTAATTTAGACTGGGACTCTTCAGTTTGGGAAAGAGATGACTATGGGTGGATATGATCGAGGTTTATAAAATCATGACTGGTGTGGAGAAAGTAAATAAGGAAGTGTTATTTACTCCTTCTCATAACACAAGAACTGGGCGTGAAATTAATAGGCAGCAGATTTAAAACAAACAAAAGGAAGTATTTTTTAACACAACACACAGTCACCCTGTGGAACTCCTTTCAAGTGGGTGTTGTGAAAGCCAAGACTATAACAGGGTTCAAAAAAGAGCTAGATAAATTCATGGAGGATAGGTCCATCCATGGCTATTAGCCAGGATGGACAGGGATGCTGTCCCTAGCCTCTGTTTGCCAGAAGCTGGGAATGGGCAACGGGGTGGATCACTTCATGATTACCTGTTCTGTTCGTTCCCTCTAGGGCACCTGGCATTGGCCACTGTCGGAAGACAGGATACTGGGCTAGATGGATCTTTGGTCTGACCCAGTATGGCCATTCTTATGTACTCCGCAGCTCCCTGCCCCCATGGGTGGCAGGGGACCCTGCAGCTCCCGACCACCGGAGGCTGAAGTCACAGAGGTCTCTGGAAGTCACAGATTCTGCGACATCCGCGACTTCTGTGACCAAATCTTAGCCTTAACTATTAACTAAATTTTAGTGAAAGTACCAGTGTTACTTATTCAATGGTGCAACCTCCTCCTCTTGTGGTTTATTTTTGAATGTGCTTTAAATTTACATAGCTAAACATATTCCAATCAACTGTTTCCAGTGTATAGAGCAAAGGTGGGCAAACTATGGTCCGTGGGCCACATGCGGCCCACGGAACTGTCTTGCCCGGCCCTTGAGCTCCCAGCCTGGGAGGTTATCCCCTCGCCCCTTCCCCGCTGTCCCCACTCCACCATCCTCCCGCAGCCTCAACTCGCCATGCCCCAGCGCTCTGGGCAGTGGGGCTGCGAACTCCTGCTGGGCAGCTTAGCTGCAAGGGTATTGTATTAAATTGCTCCCCGTAGGAATGTGCTACTTAGGGAGAACCAGCACTGGAAGCTGTAAGTAGTACACCGTAAGTAGCACATTCCTACAGGGAGTAATTTAAAACAGTACACACGGGTAGGGAAGGCTTTGCCTCCTGGGACCCCCTGCCCCTTATCTGCTCCCCGCCCCCTTACCATGCCACTCAGAGCACCAGGACTGGCAGCCATAAGTAGTACATTCCTACAGGGAACAATTTAGTACACTACAGGCCCTCCATACAGTTTTGGAACCCCAATGTGGCCCTCAGGCCAAAAAGTTTGCCCACCCTGGTATAGAGGTTCTCAATAGTGTATAGGGGTTCGTGTTTTAATGCATCTCAAATTTCACTTCAGCCTCTAGAAGTGAGTAATTAAAGTTATGAAAAGATGCCGAAAACTTTAAAAATCACCTCTAAAGACCGTGTTGCTGAACTTGGCAAGGACAAATTTCACATTGATGGTAATGTGCTGTTTTGTACTGTATACAGCAAGGCTGTAGATTACGTTTGAAGGCAGACAATTGTAGAACACCTTGAAAGCACTAAACATTAACCGAATGAAAAGAAATGAAAACAAGAGGCTGAAACAGCATGGCCATCGACAACAGTAAAAAAAAATTGCACTGTGACTTGATCAGTTTATTAATTTGATTTTATTATTCTGATTGGCACTGGCAGGCTTTGAACTTGTTTAAAAATTGTAAATATATCAATAAAACACGTTCAACTGATAGCTATCTATATTATGGCTAGGAAAACTCAAGTTCAGCATTTCATTTTAATCATGGGGGAAAAAAGGATTTTTGTTTTTTTATCAGAGAATTTCAGGGGGGGTTTTTTAATCACAAAAAACTACGATCCCTGGTGAGGAAATCTTATCTTCACAGTTCACGTATAAGGACCATTCTAAAAATAAGAAAATAGATTGCAAGAGGGTTGTCAAACTTCATCCTGCCCCCCACCCCCGATATAGTGAGGTGAGGCGCTTTGTGCCAACCACCACACTGCATGGCACTCCAAACTCTGAGTTCAAATCCTGCCCATCCTGCAATGGCCTGATCCCCCTAAAGAATGGGCACAACCAATGCTTCTCCTATCTAGGAGGGAGCCGTATCCTGGATAAGTGCTTTGTGTGCAAGTTTTTTTCTGCCAGTACACACAAGTTCAGGTATGTTAGGATCAAAGTACATCTACTGTAGTGACCCATGTGGATCACTTCAGACCCAAAGGTGATAGTTATGACTAGAGTAAGGCCAGATGAATGAGTATTGACCAGTAATCCCTCAAGCTCTCTTCATACTCCAGAATCAGGCAGTGGAAAGAAGGTGATGAGTACGTGAGCAGAGTCAGCACCATCAATGCTGACCACCTTAACATCAGCAAAGTCACCAATGCATTAGATCTTGGTGCCAGTAATCTC